TTATAATCACTTGTCATACAATTTGAGACCTCAGTTATTTCCTGTTTTGTCTGAGAGTATCGTCTGATTGTAGATGCAAGTTTTGTTCTCCCTGGTAGTCTCTGAAAAGAAACTTCCTTACCCTGGAAATTTTACAAGCTAAGTCAGGACAAGAGAAGAACTTGTAGTTATTTTTAACTTTGTGGGTAAAGGAGAACATGTGTTTGCAGTAAGATACTATGGCTGATGAAGTTAGTGTTGCGTGTTTACTGAATGTTTTGCAATTATTTGAGGGGAGAGACATTTAGTTCGGGGGGGGGGAACATTAGCATTTATATTGTATTAAAATTAAGAGAAATACAAATATACTAGTTTTAAACAAATTGATTATGGCAAGAGTTTATATTGTGTGCGTGGGGGGGGGGCAGAAGGGCGGAGTTGGGATAAAGATCCCTTAGCTGTGTCCTTATTGTAGGACGTAGGGATAACAAACTGAACTTTCAGACAAAGCATGAATGGCTTATAACCCACGAGGGGTTACAGAGATGATCAGAATATGAAGACCTTCTAGGTGTTAAGCATGGTTACTCCTCTCCCTGCCACTTCCTCTCCTCCCCTGGATGGTCAGACTTTTATCCCTGAACAATAGCTTCTTTACCGTAAAACTTTCATAGAATCATAGGACTGGAAGGGACCTCGAGAGGTCATCGAGTCCAGCCCCCCGCCCTCAAGGCAGGACCAAGCTCCGTCTACACCATCTCTGACAGATGTCTATCTAACCTGTTCTTAAATATTTCCAGAGAGGGAGATTCCTCCACCTCCCTTGGCAATTTATTCCAATATTTGACCACCCTGACAGGAATTTTTTCCTAATGTCGAATCTAAACCTTCCTTGCTGCACTTTAAACCCATTACTCCTTGTCCTGTCCTCAGAAACCAAGAGGAACAAATTTTCTCCTTCCTCCTTGTGACCCCCTTTTAGATATTTGAAACCCGCTATCATGTCCCCCCTTAATCTTCTTTTTTCCAAACTAAACAAGCCCAGTTCATGACGCCTGGCTTCATAGGTCATGTTCTCTAGACCTTTAATCATTCTTGTCGCTCTTCTCTTTACCCTTTCCAATTTCTCCACATCTTTCTTGAAATGTGGCGCCCAGAACTGGACACAGTACTCCAGCTGAGGCCTAACTGGTACAGAGTAGAGCGGCAGAATGACTTCTCGAGTTTTGCTTACAACACACCTGTTGATACAACCTAGAATCATATTTGCTTTTTTTGCAACAGCATCACACTGTTGACTCATATTCAACTTGTGGTCCACTATGATCCCTAGATCCCTTTCCGCCATACTCCTTCCTAGACAGTCGCTTCCCATTTTGTATGTATGGATCTGATTGTTCCTTCCTAAGTGGAGCACTTTGCGTTTCTCTTTATTAAACTTCATCCTGTTTACCTCTGACCATTTCTCTAACTTGCTACGGTCATTTTGAATTATGTCCCTATCCTCCAAAGAAGTTGCAACCCCACCCAGTTTGGTATCATCTGCAAACTTAATAAGCGTACTCTCTATCCCAATATCTACATCATTGATGAAGATATTGAACAGTACAGGTCCCAAAACAGACCCTTGTGGAACTCCAAGTCTTTGACCCTAAAGACTAGGGATATTAGTGTATAATTGGTTAAACAATTAACTGATAAACCTGGGCTCATCAGGTGATCCAAATGACTACCCCTTCTTTGCTACTGCTGTATTTTAAGCTGTCTCTCCCAAGCACCAGACCCTGTGGAGCTGCCTCTGCTCCCTGCACTCCCACGTTGCTGCCTCTCTGACAAGGGCAGGGAGGAGCCAGTACACATAGGAAGCTGGCTCCCTGTGCATATTGGCTTCTGTGGAGCTGCTTGTCCCCCTCTCCCACGCTGTTGCCTGTGAGAGGCAGCAACATAGGGTGGGGGCGCAAGCGGGATGCCAGAGCAGCCCTGGTTTGTGAGGAGTACAGACTCCCCGTGGACAGAAGTGCTGTTGTAGAGCAGCCTCTGTCTGCAGCAGGTCTGGGCTCGCTGTGCATGGAGGCTGCTCCATGGGATGGCAGATCAACCTCTGTCTGTGGGGAGCTTGGGCTTCCCACGGACAGAGGCAGCTGCTGTCCCACACTGCTGCCTTTGTATCAGGGGCAGCAGGTGGGAACTGGTTTTAAACCAGCTTCCCTTGTGGACTGGCTCCTGCCTGCGATCTCATGCTGTTGCTTCTGATACAAACCAGCAGTGCACAGTGCCAGGGGGCTCCATGGGAGTGGGACCGGGAGTGCACTGGCTGCTGGCCCCATCCCCAGGGACCATCAGATAATTGTGAAACGGCTAAGATTTAGTGTGGTTAAAGACAGAAAATGAATATTATCTGTTGAGACGTAAATTAAGTGGGTGTGCCTTTGCAGTCAGTATATAGTGATAGTAATTGGTTAACATTTGTAGTGTTATTGGAAATAGTCAAAAGGTGCTACTGCAGATGGTTTTATTAACACATGTATAAGCCATCTTTGTGGGGGAAGGAGGAGGAGAGGTTTGTCAACTGTGATGTCTTTTTAAATTCTGAGCAAAGTACTTTTATTAGCCTGTTCTAGTTGCTAAGAATCCTTTTGTAACATGTAGCTTCTGCCTACAGGTTCTATGAATGCAAGTAAAAAAAATGTGATGTGATGCTAGTGGAATTGTCAGATCAGGCTGATTAACATTATTCTACAATTTAGTTAAATGTATTTGCTATGCTTAAGGACATGGTTGGGTTCATCCATTTTGCCTTTAAAAATGCATTTAACATTTTGTAACATGTCACTCAGAACAGAAGTCACTCGGGTTCCTTGAAGCCTGGCATATTAACTCAAATTAGTTTTGAAACCAAAGTGTTCAGTGCTAATAAGTTGCTCTTGGAAAAACTTCAGTGTTGTGAAATTAGGTTCCTTTTGGTTAGACTTTTTGAAGTTAGTTCTGAATCTGGCTATTTTCCCAACTACTCAGTGAAATCTGGAATGACTTAAGTTGTGAAGGTTTTAACAAACTAAGCAAACCTCTTTCTGCCCCTGCAGCGACATGTTGAAATAGAAATATTGCTAGCCTTCCGGCTATCTAATGTTAACACAATATAAGTTAACCACAGGAAGAATAGGCTTTGAAATTGGCTTGCATGAGAGCCTGCGGGGACCTCTCCTGATTTGTCACAACTATTTTGCCTTCTGGCTTTTTACATGTGTTGATGTATGTACATTTATATGTCAAATCTTGTCTCCTAGCGGGCAACTACATTTACAGCAGTGCGTTGAGTATAGACCTAGCACACCCACCTAGAACTTCTATGAATTATACTGTCTATACAGTGATGCATGGCTTAGGGGAGCAGCATTATCTGAACCCCCATATTTATGCCCTACACAACTCTGTCAAAGCAGTGCTTTGCAAATTTACAGTGTTTTTAAAATTGTAGTGTTCCTATGCAGCAGTGAATATCTCCAGCATGTAACTACATACTGCAGCGAAAAAAGTGGACGCAGCCTGCCTTTCATTATATTATGTGACTACACATGTGGTGCCTGGATTTTTCCATGCCGCTGTAAGTGTAGACGTAGAACTAACGTGCAAACCATTACCTCCGTAGATAACACTGCCTTGTAGCATGTTCCAAAACTCTAGAAAATGAGCCATGTTAAGTCTAGCTAGTGTACAGTGGTTCCAAGCCTTGGTTAAAATTCCAGTCTAGGAGATTGTCACATCACTTCTTTCAAGAATAAGATAGTAGCTAAATTACTGGGATAGCATTAATATCACCTGAATACCACTGTAAACTAAGTACAATGAAACCTTTGTTATCAGGCACTCTGTTAACCAGAAAACTTTGTTAACTGTCATTGCCCCCAACCGCAATTCTGTCATATCTCCAGGCCTAGCTTGGTTTCCCATGATTGGCTTAACAATTTTTTATTTAAGAAGTACTAATCTTTAACTCAGAATAGAAATGAGAGACCAACTGTCTCACTACAAAACTACCAATATTCAAAACTTGAGTTTTACTATTATTGTCCATTGGTTTTTCCTAGGTTGATGGGATCCTCAGGTAACAGTAATGCCCTAATTTCCGAGCATGCCGGATTACACAGGTTTTACTGGTTATGATAATTTGTAGTTTTCATATGTACATATGACAGCTGCTCGATCACTCCTTATTGGCTCAACAATTCTTACATGGAGAAAAATGACTTTCTTTTGAAGTCAGAAGGCATTCTGAAATACATACCGTATATCTAGTCATAAGATGGTTTTTTTATTGTAAAATCAGATATTTCCTTTTCAGACTTGAGATAAGCAAAAAATTTTGTCTGCCCACTTAGAAAGAAAATAAATCTGTATTTAAAGAAATAATTAACATAATAGAATCTCTAAGTTGTGAGTATCAGTACATCATATTTCTGGATTATCTACCTTTAGTTCAGGCTTTTATTTTTACAAGTAACAGAAATGGGCAACTACCAAAAGGGACTGTTCCTTGTTTTATTTTGGTTTGTTTTTGCACTTTTATAATGCTATTTTATCTTAATATTTCAATGAACGTTAGTTAAACCCCATATCCTTTTGGGGTAGAAAGGGAATTCCTGTTCTGGTGATACCATATTTTGGTAATAGGATTTGGAAAATGTAATTTTTGACAGGAAACAGGATAACCGCTTGAGATCATAGTGAATTCTCAGTTAAGTGGATAGTACTGATATAAATATGTAGTGTTAATTTTTAAAGTGGTTCTGCTGCTTCCTCTGATTAATAGGGAGACCAGAACAATATAAACTGTCTTCTACATCCTGTTGGAAGGACTGTTTTCTATGTTTCTTTAATCTTTAACATATTGAATTCCACTGAAAATAATAAATGAATGGTGAGGAAAAGGAGGACCTGGAGTTTTATGAATGTGACATGCAGAACAGCTGAGAGAACATTTATAGCAAATGTTTTAAATTTATTTTGTGTGTTTGTTTTAGGCTTATGGTATGTCTGCTTTGCCTCTAAACTTGATAAAAGGAACTCGAAGTCCTGTTTATGAACGTTTGGAGAACACTGAAGATATTGAAGAAGTAGAACAACATATACTAAGGATTAAATCAAAGGTTTGGTGTTTGTTACCTAGCATTTAAAACTCCTTCTGTTTATGGTATTCCTGTTGCTCTGCACTTTTTTGGTTTAATGTTTGGATTGTTGCTCATTTGTACAATAACGGGGACAGAAGTAAATATTCTCCATACTTACAAAGTTAGATTCTCCCAATTTCCTATTCCTCTTAGTCCTTCCATTTTTTTGGATTTTGTTGGGTCAAACACCCTGTACTATAGCAGACAATGGACTGTTAAACTTTTGCGCTAATGGAGGCCTCTCTTCACAGGAAGTAACCTAACAAAAATGACCTTGAAAGTTGCTAATAAAATAAGTCAAATTGTGTTGATCAAAGAACAAAATAAATATTATAGAACAAATGAAGTATAAACTAAATACAGGCAGTCCCCGAGTTACGCGGATCTGACTTATGTCGGATCCGCAGTTACGAACGGGGCAGTCTCCCTGGTCTCCAGCAGACCAGGGAGAGGAAGCAAAGCGGCGGAGCACGCGGGCAGCGGACAGCCCAGACGCGTCTGGGCTGCAGGGAGACGGGGAGCAAAGCAGAGCAAAGCTGCGGAGCCTGAGGGCAGCAGGACAGCCACGGCGCGTCTGGGCTGTCCCGCTGCCCCCGTGCTCCATGGCTTTGCTCCGGACATCTGTGGTACAGCAGCTGGGGGGCCG